TTTTTGAATTCTGAACCATGGGAGTTATTACGCATTCAAACCAACCTTGGTTATCACACTGTGGACTGGACTCTGACTCTGCCTGTCTGGCCTTCCCAGGGCATCCACAGATGTGTATAATAGCCCTACTGTGCCCAACGGTGGCATCCAGGTCTCCTTTGTCTCCCTTATCTTTGTAAACCCTTATCACCATGCCTTGCGCTACGCCCAGCCGGCCTGAGTAGTAGCTTTCAGCACCCAGGCAACTGTGCCAGGATTCCAACGAAACAGAGGTTTGATTTAGCAAGGGCAGGAAGTACTTACAATATTCCTGATCCCCTGAAAGATTTTCTCGGTGGTATCCACTGAAGATGGTACTCTTTCCCACTCCCTTTTCTGATTTGCCCAGCAGAACTGCTAGGAGAAAGGTCAAAGGAGTAAGAAAGAAGCAGTGCCAAGACCCCCTGCACATGGCTCTCATATCTCAGCAAGAATTCAGATGGGACTGTAATTAGAAACTGGAATTTCCACTCAGTTCTAGGATATAGATCCCTTTCTGATCTAGCTGTATTTTTAAAATCAGCTAGGGGGCCCATGTTCTTGAAGAGCCCCTGAAAGAGTGAATGTGTTGTCTGCACACTCTTACTGAACTAGGACAACCTCTAGGCTGTGGTTACAAGAGGCCGAGTAAGTAGAGGTAAAAACAGTGAGACAAGGTTGACTAGATCCTGTTCTGTCTACCTATCTAATCATTCCAGATAGCTCAATAGTGTCTAAAAAAGGAGATCAAGGACTGTGGACTTCAAAGAAGTCACAAAGTAGGGAGTATAAAGTTCTGGTTAAGAGAGAGGTTCTGCAGTCAGACAGACTGCTTGGGTTGAATCCCAGGTCTGCTACCTCAGTGACCTTGGACAAGACATTTAATATCTGAGTGTCAGCACACTTGTCTTCAAACAGAGGACAGTGAGAATCATCGACCTCATATGTTATAGTAAGCGTTGTGAAGAAAAAGCAATTTGCCAGGTAGTGAATAGTTAATAAATGTTATTAGCTATAATTCATATTATTTCTCCATAAAACAAATTCTGACCATCCAGAGGGTGTAAGGAAACAAAACAACACAGAACAAATGCATTCCCCATAGAGTTCTAAGATTGAGTTCAATGGAGTGTCTATCCGGTGTTACACACTTAGGGGTGGGGCTCTCCTTCTGCAGCAAAGGGCTGACCTTGTCTGTCCCTCAAGGCCTGAAGCTGCCTATGTGGGCACCTCACACTTTTCAAATGCAAATTCTACTTCCTTCTTCAAATGTTTGCTTTTCACCCCATGACCCATTCGTGAGGAGCGAAGATATTCTAAGGCTCTCGCTCTGCCTGACGGGGGCTCAGTCCCTGCTACATGCTGTCACCTTCCCTTGGGCTGCTGTGCCGTGGGACGTGGGACGTGGGTCGTCGGCCCCCGGTGGAGGGGAGGGCCCTGGACACTCATATATCCTTTGGGGCACCTTCGCTATTGATAAATTAGCAGAAGCGAAGTTAAGACTGTACTATGATGTGGTTTCCCCATGTTTGGAACTTTGAAAATGGGCAAATGGCTGGCAATTGCGCCTAAAAGAAGCTGATTTCCTCTCACAATGAAACACAGATCTTTCTTTACCTGTGAACAGCGTCAAGGTTGTGTTAAACTGAAGTTAACCGCAGGAGTTGATGGGTCATTTACGGGCCAGGGCGGCGCTGCTGTGACAGACGGCCTGTCCCCCATGAACTGTGGGCATAGTTTTCTCCAGAACATTCTTGCAGTTACAGCAATGTGTGGAAACAGACTCTGAAGAAATACAACTCGGACATTTCAATTTACACTGGAATTCAGATTCCCGGAGGGAAAGGAGTTCGGGAATCCTTGGCGAGGGCAGGCTGCCCCCTCCGCGGTCCCGCAGGCCAGGGGGCCGCCCTCGGTTTGCACAAACAGCAACGGCGACGCTAGCGGCAAAACAAAAACAAAGCCAAAAGAGCATGGCGACAAATGTAAACTTCGTGCTATTTTTTAGAGTATCTCCAGTGATCAGAGGCTGTGGAAAGACTTACAGAAAAAGTCCCAAGGAGGGGAGGGAGGCCTGAGCCTAGAATACTCCTAAGACCCTTTCATAAACGCAGCGCTGCAAAACCTGCCTCCCTGTCTGCGGAACTTCACTGGCAGGAAAAAATGGAGCCACGTCATGGGAAGCGCCAGGGAGACTCGGAGACACGTCGTCAAGAGGGACAAGGAAGAGGCGAGACCGTCCCTGCATGCAAGATGCGCGGTGACCACGCCGGGCCGCCTCCCCAGGACGCGCCCGACCTTTGCCCCCGGTTCGCGGGGCGTGGCCGCAGGGGCCAAGGGGCCGCCCCGGGGCTGGTCCCGCTCGGACCCGGCTTGGCGCTCAAGGCGGGCCCCCCAACTAGCCTCCCGGGCGGGGCGCCCCACCACGTTCCCCTCGGACAGCCAGGGGCCCCTGCCCGGGGAGGCCGCCGGCGCTGGCCAGCGGGGCTTGACCTGGAAGCCCCTCAAACTCTCCCACCAGATGGGTAAGTGGGCACTCGAGTGGGCCTGAAATCGCCGAAAAGCCACCACTTCTTTTTTTCAGACGTTATCATTCAAATGTACTGAAACAGGAGGATCAATGGGAAGAGAAGTATAGTAAATTATTAACATCCATTAGTGTGCCTCAGCGCACTGTGCACGCACCGCTTCCCAGAAAGCAGGACCCAGAGAACATGGCAGGCAGGTAGATAAGGGTTGAGAGGCCACAAGAAGTAGAGAAAAGGGTCCAGGGAGGGCCGGAGGCCTGGGCAGCCTGGGGCTGTGACTGGGAAAGGACACCGGACTTCTGGCCTACTTAGTTATCTCTGCTCTTTGATGTGACCGCTTGCCTTCCAGTCTCTACCAGCAGCAGCAGGGGACATTGGGAAAAAACCACTAAGTAGTTTTTAAAAACATTGATGCCTACACTCATCTTGGGTCCCTCACTCAGACTTCCTGGGGAGAAAGGGGCAGGTGTCAAGCCAATCAAGGCAATTGTGTAAAGGGTGCCACGTGATTCCCTCACGGGGTGGCTGAGCACCCCGGCTCTGTAAGTCACCATGCCCTCCAGCACGCAGCGTGGTGCTGCTGAGGCAGCCAGCAAGCAGACCATCCTTCTCGCTTGGCAACTTGGGATTTGAGGGAAAATGGCAAATTACAGGCCAGTGGTACCAGCTGTCAAATACTGGCTCCGAGGCGAATGAAGGTCAAAGAGAACCTTGTAAGGAAGAAAATAGCTGGAATCCATGGTGTAGGCCCCCCAAAACCCTTGTTTTAACTCACACAATCTTTTAGCTGTTAGGACCACCAAGTCAATTGTTCATACTTTTATCTCCAGCCACATAAAGGCAGAACCAGCAGCCCAGAAACTAGAAGCAAAAAAAAAAAAAAAAAAAAAAACTTT